ACAAACCAACAAACAGTCAAACACACGCCGGTGAAAACATAACCTCCTGCCAACCCCTTGGCGGAGGTAATAATAGTGAATCTTTTCAACATAGGCGAGCTCACAGTAGGTATACATATGCATCTAGCTGTGAGGTTTATCCACTTTAAACCTTGTAGGGTCTTGACTCGGACAGCATGCGCATCGAGCCGCTGGGCAAGGATGCCGAGAACGCCAGCTACTGGTACTTCTATGGCACAAGGCTCTACAAGGAGGACCCTCCACCTCCACCACCCCCCGAACCGAGACGGCGGAAAAGGAGGAAGAAAAAGTATGACCCCCACCTCCCTAATCTTTATAAGGTGTCATGTGCTTTGCATCGTTCATTGAGACGTAGCGTAGAATGAGTCATCAATCACGCATAGCGTGCACGATTGTATATATGGGTGACTTTCAGATGTGAACCTTAGAATGTGAACTTAGATTAGACTTTAGATGTGAAATTTCTTGTGTTATATATGTATATATAACTGGTTGCCGTGCTGTTTTGTGTCTGTTTTGAAAAATACATCATATATGTGAAATAAAGTTTGCTCCTCCAAGTTTGTTAACAACCACCACTCAATTATGTGCCGCCGGGCAGCCTCTAACAGTCGGCGTGTTTCAGGGAGGAAGCTGTTGAGAAGAAGTCAAAGAGGGGAAAGAATAAGGAGTTGGAAAAGAAGAAGCACCACAAGAAGAAGTACAAGGAGAAGAAGCAGGACAAAGCGGCTGCGGTAGCTGCAAAGAAGCAGGAGGCTCGTGCGAAACGTGCAGAGAAGAGAGCCACGCGGGTCAAGGCTGAGGTCAAGCCTGAGGTCAAGCCTGAAGTCCTGCCTGAGGTCAAGGTTGAGGTCAAAGTTGAGGAACCGGTCGCCTCTCCGCCGGTGAAGCGGGGCAGGGGAAGACCACGGAAGTATCCTAGAAAGGAAGATATTATTGCTGCGCAACAAAAGGCAGCCATGGAGGAGCAAAGGGCCCTGGAGCAGGGAAAAGCCCTAGAGCAGGAAAAAGCCCTAGAGCAAGAAGAAGCCCTAGAGCAAATAAAAGCCATCAAGCAGGAAAAAGACGAGGAGCAGAAAGAAGTCGTAGATGAGCCAATGGTCACAGACCGGGTGAAGATCAGGGGAAGACCACGGAAGTATCCGAGAAAGGAAGATATTATTGCTGCACAACAAAAGGCAGCCATGGAGGAGCAAAGGGCCCTAGAGCAGAAAAAAGCCCTAGAGCAAGAAAAAGCCTTAGAGCAAGAAGAAGCCCTAGAGCAAGAAAAAGCCATCAAGCAGGAAAAAGATGAGGAGCAGAAAGAAGTCGTAGATGAGCCGATGGTCCCAGACCAGGGGAAGGTCACAAATGAGGAGAAGGGTGGAGGTGAGGTGAAGGTCACAGACCAGGTGAAGGTCTCAGATGAGGAGAATGGTGGAGGTGAGGTGAAGGTCACAGACCAGGTGAAGGTCACAGATGAGGAGAATGGTGGAGGTGAAGGTGGAAGGTCAACCAGACCCAGGTGAAGGTCACAGATGAGGAGAATGGTGAGGTGTAGGTGAATGGTCACAGACCAGGGAAGGTCCACAGATGAGGAGAATGGTGAGGTGAGGGTGAAGGTCACAGACCAGGTGAAGTCCGAGATGGAGAGAAGTCAGAAGATGAAGTGAAGATCACAAGATGAGCGAGAATGGGTAGAGCAGGAGGAGACCGAAGGTGAACGGCAAGAGAAGCTGCTGGAGATGGATCTGCGAGAAGCCGATTAAAATCAAAGCGAAGAGGAAACAACAAGCAGGTGAGGCTAGCAGGGTTCAGAGGCGCTTGAACACTTCCATGCAGTCAGCGGGTGGGCGGCGGCCCCCGCAGGGCATGCAGATATAAGGGTCCGTTCACGATTTATTCAACATTTTCACAAAGTGTACATAAGCATAACACTTTTTCGAGACCCCCCCCCCTTTTCCCCTCTAAAAGTGTACGAAGAAAATTGAAATGTTGGATCTTTGTTTTCACAGCTATTCTACATCAGAAGTGAGGAGGAACATTAGGAGTTAATATGGAAATGATGACGTTTGTCATTATTTACCCCTGAGATACATGTATATGAAATTACATGCAAAACTGCCATCGTGCCGGGTTGTTTACACTGCACTCGCTGCTAGCTAGCTAGCAGCTGGTTCGTTCATTCAGCGGGCCCGTGCGGTGCGCGGGGCCAGCCGGGGCTCGCGCGTCGCTGATGTGAGGTGCGCGCCGATGCCGGCTGGGGCGCGCGGCGCGGGGAAAATGGATGCGACATTTTTCGAAAATGCTGAAAGCCTGCGGCGGGCATTGACCCGCCTCCCCCCCAGCGTAACGGTTTGTACGATTGTGAAAATGTCGATAACTGTGAAGCGAACCCCTAAGATATATAAGATATATAGTATTTTATTTATCGCTTTCATATTAGCAAGTACAAGAATTTTAACAAAGCAAATAAATAAACAATACAGCGAAGGGGATGACGAAAAGACGCATACGGTCATGCAGGGGTTTTTTCCTAAACGTTAACATTGTATTATCACGTCACACATTGGGGAAGATCTGGGGTCTGTATCACGAAGAGATTATTCCAGGTTCATATTCCGTGAGCATGTCTTGGCCATATATTATGATATCGAATGGCTCAGGGGCGTGTACAGGGGGCGGGAGATTCTGCTTGCGCAGAAAACGCATCTAAGGGGGTCTAATTTCTAAATTTTTTGGGGGTGGGCCAGCATGTTCTTCGCGTGCTCACATGTTTGGGTTACGGTTAGACCCCCCCCCCCCTGGTACAAATCCTGTACACGCCCCTGTGGCCGATCATAATGTTATGATGAGATTTGTCTTGCATTTTCGTAGCGTCAACGGCGAGCCGAGGCGGAGTCAGAGGAAACACAGCTGCCAGATGATGAGAGAGGAGAAGCCTGTGGAGGCAGAGGTTAAGAAGGAGGAGGATGACGAGGATTGGATGGATATTAGTCAGAGGTTCGTACGACGAGCCTTGTTGTTGTAAACGGACATTCACAGTGCATTTTGCATCCCACACGGCATCGATGACATTCTTGACACAGTCTTGACAGATAAGTCGCACTGAAATCCTGCTAATATTCACTCATTTCGCTTCGATAGCGACAGGTGTGGACTGTCGTTGAGTAGCGTGTTATGAGGAGGTACACAGCCAACACGTGTGAGGTTTACTATATTTATAATGGGCAGTCATGAAAGGGGAACATCCACACGACCTTCTCCTTGTGTTGCAGAGAGAACGAAGACGGTGTCGATATCAAGTCGGAGGATGGAGAGGAGACGTGGGAGAACGGCAAGGTGGAGGCAGATGGAGAGGGGGAGGAGGCGACAGTGGAGGAGGAACCGGCGAGGAAGGCGGTTCCCCATGTGGTCACGTCGGAGAGCAGCCGCTGGCACCTCATCTGTACAACGGAGGAGGACTGGAAGCAACTGGGAGAGAAGTTCCGCAACAGCAAGGAGCGGTGTGAGAAGAAGCTATATCGCGCCATTTTTGAAGACTTTCTGCCAGAGATCGCCAACCTGATTGTGGAGAAGGTAGGTGGCGCCACGTGCATCGCGTCAACTTGCTCAGATACTCCTTTACAGAAATGGATGATAGAGAAACTGAAAGTCGTGCCCAGTGCTTGACATTCTACACATATTTTTTTACAGGAACGGATGATGAAGAAAAGACTCCAAGAGATGGCGCCACGTAGGATGTCATCCAGAGTAGAACAGAAGAAAAAGGAGAAGGAAGAGAAGGTACCTTTGATTGTATTGCCACCAAGTTACTAGACGTCGAAGTATCGATGTAGAAGCAGGCAGTTGTGCTCTCATGTCTATATACAGGGATGAGAATCTTCCGCGGATCCGCTGAAATCCGCGGATTTCACAGTCCCAGGGTCGATTTTGTGAAACGTCTAAATCCGTTGAGAGAAAATTTTAGGGGGGTTAGAATGTACAAATTTTCATTTTACAGTCCAACAGTACCTTCATTTAATAACATTGTAATATAGTTTGCTTTACAATATAGACACGGCTTAGTTCACTGTTTGAGATTGTCAGACGTTGGCCGGTGCGTGAGTTTATTTGACGCTGCAAGTGTGTGTGTATGTGTGCCGCGCGTGCTACGCAGGCCGGATATAGTACGCGATCGATCGATCGTGTACATCAAAAGCCGCCGCGTCACGCGTGGCCTTGAGGCTCGTTTTATGAACACAAATTGTCATTCCCATCCCTGTATATAGCATAAGGTGATAGAATCTTAGATTAATCCTTTCATTTATAGCTTTCTGAAATTGCCATTTAATCTGAAGTCGCTCCCTCGGTCGTAATTCAGACTAGCTGCACAAATTCAATCGTCGAACAAAACTAAGCGTTCAAACCGGACAAATACAAATCAACACGCCTGTCCTGCGGCGGCAGGCGTCGCTCGTATCGCGTCTCGTGGCTTCGGTGATTCACGCGTCGCTGCTTGCTCCTTGCTCATCTCGCGTCTCATGGCTTCGGTGATTCACGCGTCGCTACGCGTCTCATGGCTTCGGTGATTCACGCGTCGCTCCTTGCTCGTCCCGCGTCTCATGGCTTCAGTGATTCACGCGTCGCTCCTTGTTGCTCCTCGTCCCGCGTCTCATGGCTTCAGTGATTCACTCGTCGCTGCTTGCTCCTAGCTCGTCCCGCGTCTCATGGCTTCGGTGATTCACGCGTTGCTCCTAGCTTGTCCCGCGTCTCATGGCTTTGGTGATTCACTCGTCGCTGCTTGTTGCTCGTCCTGCGTCTCGTGGCTTCAGTGATTCATGCGTCGCTCCTTGTTGCTCCTCATCTCGCGTGTCGTAGCTTCGGTGATTCACGCGTCGCTGCTTGTTGCTCGTCCCGCGTCTCGTGGCTTCGGTGATTCACGCGTCGCTGCTTGCTCCTTGCTCCTCATCCCGCGTCTCGTGGCTTCGGTGATTCACGCGTCGCTGCTTCTTCCTCATCCCGCGTCTCGTGGCTTTGGTGATTCACGCGTTGCTGCTTGCTCCACATCCCGCATCTCGTGGCTTCGGTGATTCACGCGTCGCTGCTCCTTGCTCGTCCCGCGTCTCGTGGCTTTGGTGATTCACGCGTTGCTGCTTGCTCCACATCCCGCGTCTCGTGGCTTCGGTGATTCACGCGTTGCTGCTCCTTGC